AGGAGGCGGAGCTTGCAGTGAGCTGAGATCCGGCCACTGCACTCCAGCCTGGGCGACAGAGCGAGACTCCGTCTCAAAAATAAATAAATAAATAAACAAAACGGACTTTGTAAAACTCATGAACATCTTCAAACATATGCAGAAGCAGAGAGTAGTGTAACGACCTCCCATTGCCATCACCTGGCTCCAGCAATTCTCAAAAGATTTTCTAGTAAGTCTTCAACCCTTGGCATTTGCATCCCCACTCCCAACCAATGAAGGTAACAGTAGGCATTACCAGAAAAACCAGAATGTTGATTTAATTTAAAAGACTTTAGTACATGTGACTTGCGATGTGGAGATCTCCAAACAAAATATATTTTCTGCTAATATAACATTATTCCTTATTCATATGCTATAATTAAAGAATTCCACGAGTTCTAGTACAAGTTTTAGAACTACTGATCTCATTTTCAGACTAGGTGACTTGGGGTGACCGAGTTTGATAACTGGCCACAAGCTCACAATGAAGAATTGGGAACAGGACTAGAATGGAATTAGAATTTAGGTTTCCTGTTCTGACGTGGGGCCCAGCCCCTGACTGTCACACAGTCTTCTCCTGGGCTATGCCTGGGGTTAGGGAAGGGCTAGATGCAGGTATCAAGAAGATTGGGAAAACACAGGTAGCTTTCAAGATTCCCAACTCCCCCTCAGACTCAAGAGTAGCAGCTGTTGCTATCAGGCCTGTTTACTTTGTTTGTTTGTTTGTTTTCGAGATGGAGTTTTGCTCTTGTTGCCCAGGCTGGAATGCAATGGCTAGATCTCGGCTCACTGCAGCCTCTCCCTCCTGGGTTCAAGCGATTCTCCTGCCTCAGCCTCCCGAGTAGCTGGGATTACAGGCACCTGCCAACACACCCGGCTTTTTGTATTTTTAGCAGAGATGGGGGTTTCACCATGTTGGTCAGGCGCGAACTCCTGACCTCAGGTGATCTGCCCGCCTTTGCCTCCCAAAGTGCTGGGATTACAGGCGTGAACCACTGCATCCGGCCTATCAGGCCTGTTTTTTTTTGTTTGTTTTTTGTTTTTTGTTTTTGAGACAGAGTTTCGCTCTTGTTGCCCAAGCTGGAGTGCAATGGCACGATCTCGGTTCACTGCAACCTTCGTCTCCCAGGTTCAAGCGATTCTCCTGCATCAGCCTCCCCAGTAGCTGGGATTACAGGCACACACCACCACGCCTGGCTAATTTTTTGTCATGTTTTCTAAATGGTGTAATAACAGCACAGACATTTCTTCTCTTTTCTCAGTCTCATTTTGCTCTCTGACATTTGAGCCCTTCTGAAACTGCCTCCCTGGGCCTTCCCAAGGCCCCTGCAGGTTCCTCCCCACTTCCTTCAGCTGATCTCAAGCAGCAACCTCTGTTAACTGCATCCCCAGATCTCCACCCCCCACCCTCTGCCAGTGTTGATCCACTAACCACTTACCCACCCTCCTAGATCCAACTACCCACCTCCTCCCAAAAAAGGCACCTGCCCTCCCGACAAACCACCCAGCCTTCAGGACCCAGCTCCAGCTGTTCCCCAGGCAATATCACTTGAAGGGCCAGCCAGCACTTCCTAATCTCAGGATGCAACGCCTGCAACCCTTCATTCAGGGCACCTTTACTTAGCCGATTTCCAGAAGCCTCCACAGCTGAGCGACATGTAAGATACTGGGGCTACCGAAGGCATAGAGGATTCCTAGTTTTCCCGTGATAGGATGAGGGCTCATAGCGCCTGCAGAAAAAGCTGCCCTGAACTGGGCATAGACAACGAACGCTGCCTGGGGTCATCTATGCATCAGCAGGAGGTGGCTTCTGGCTTTTGACGGTTGAACTGGAATTTAGGGGA